AAAAAATTAATGCAAGATGTTTGGCGATGTCGTTTAAATTGGGACGAGTCCGTTCCGCAAAGTATTTACACGGAATGGTTAGAATTCGTTAAACAATTTGAATTAATAAATCAAATTTCCATTGATCGCAAATTATTTATTGAGGATTTTGTCGATATTCAGCTTCATGGTTTTTGTGATGCTAGTAATATCGGTTATGGGGCATGTCTATATGTGCGTTCCTGTGGAAAGCATGGAAATACCATTGTCAAGTTGTTGTGTGCCAAATCACGCGTCGCACCATTGAAGGCTGTTTCTATCCCACGTCTCGAACTTTGTGGTGCATTACTTTTAGCGAGATTATTTCAAGAAGTAAATAATACATTGGGTACATTGAATATCGTTTTTACTAAAACGATTTTTTGGTGTGATTCCACTATTGTGCTTCATTGGTTAAAAACTTCACCTCATATACTTAATGTTTTTGTGGCAAATCGGGTTACAGAGATTCAAAGGCTTACCGGAGTGAACGAGTGGCGTCATGTTAAATCGGAAGATAATCCCGCTGATGCAATTTCGAGAGGACAATTACCTTATAAATTTTTACACAATCGAATGTGGTTTACTGGTCCCGTTTGGTTGATTGAGAATGAAAATGTTTGGCCTTGCGAGGTCGTACATAAGATAGAAGTTCCCGAATTGAAAAAGAATATTTGCCTAATGACAATGACTAATGACCCTGAAATATTTAGAAAATATTCTTCTTATACGAAGTTGATCAGAATTGTCGCGTATTGCTTGCGCTTCCGTTCTGTCAAAAAATTTACAGGGTTGTTATGTGCAAAGGAGATTAACGAAGCTGAAATACGAGTATTGAAAATTATTCAAGCGAATCGATTTTCCAACGAGATTACAAGATTCAAACGAAATGATGTTTCAGCTAAATCTAAAATCGCTAATCTATGTCCGTTTTTGGATGTTCACGGTTTATTGCGGGTCGGAGGACGACTTCAAAAATCAAATATGTCCTTTTCAAGTAAACATCCGATTCTATTGCCAAGTCGACATTATCTTACTGATTGTATTATTCGTGAAACTCATGAAATACATCATTCTGGTATTCAAACCACGTTATATATCATCAGACAAAGGTTTTGGCTAATTGATGGTCGGAATCAAGTTCGTAAAATTGTATGTTCTTGCATACGTTGTTTTAGATTTAATGCTAGATTTAATGCACTGTCGAATATAAAATGGGTAATCTCCCGCCTTCTCGTATGTGCGAAGCAACACCATTTATTAATACTGGCATCGATTTTTGCGGTCCTTTTTATATTAAAGAAAAGAAACATCGCAAAGATCGGAAGAGCACACG